ACGACGGTAGCGTTACGCCGGGCGCGCCCACCGGAAACCGGGTATTTCCGGCGAGGGAGGGCCGAGGCGGGTCATAATAAGGACGCTGAGCCCCGTGCGGCGGTACAACGATTCGGGTCACTGCACACCAGGGGAAGGGAGGGGAGGGGAGGGAGGGGACATGGGTGCCTGAATACAAGGTGTATTTGAAGGAGCGAGAGGCAAGGGGAGTCGAAAAAAGGCGTAGCGCATTCGCGCAAGAAACCTCGGAATTCTGTCTGCCGCGATATGATTTATGAACACCGAACCGGTCTCTGCTGTCTATCATTGACAGAATTACTCTGCATTGAATCAATTTTTACTATGGGCTCAATGTCAGCCTGGAGATTAATGTCTCAGACTGGCCACCAAGTGATAGCTTCTCTGAGCTGACTCGACTACTACAAAGCCACAGAGACCGACTGAGGGCTGATCTGCACCAATCATTGCGCAACCACTGACCTAGACGGGACCGGTTACTGCATAGTGCAGCGGGGCCAGCGGGGGAACGGAGAGGGACCACTGAGACCGACACGGGCAGTCGGCAGGCTGCCAGCGCCGATATGGGTTCGGTAACCCAGTTCTCACTTATGGGCACGAGCAACAATACAGCAGAAATAGGACCTTTACCTTCTGGCCTCCTGCTTTCAACAGCGCCCTTCTCTATTTCTTACCTCTTTATTCTAATGGCGTCGTCTTTCTATTGCGCCTTTTCTATCTTTAAAGTTATATTCTCTTCTCTACATCATAACTTCCTTGAACTAGCATCCTCGCTGTCCTACCGCCTTATCATTACCATCACCCTCTTATACGCTCCTATATAACATCCTCCTCCAAATCACGACAAACTCCCAGTAGGTACAGTCCACAGCAGAAGTAATGTGGGGTTTCAGTCATGGGTATGTTCTGCTTCTGAAGCTTAGGAACGATTAGCCAGACTACAATGAAACTTTGAATGTAGCTTATATGTATCGTCACCCTTGCAGCTGCAACTTTAGCTATTGACATCTTCTTTTCGATCACTCCGCATTAAACAATCGCCAGTCAAAGCCAACCGTTGAGATTGGTAAAACCCTACATTACTTTAGCGGTGGGCTGTACAGTCTGTCTTAAAAGTACCGCGCAAAGTGACGGTGGATCCATCAAGCCTGACCGAGGAAGGGCCTGCTATAATTTGAAAGTCACCGAACCAATGGAGCTGGGGAATGGACGAGGATGTCCATTGCTTCGGTGACTCAAATTTGGCAGTCCTTCATCGGTCAGGCTTGATGGATCCACCGTCACTTTGCGCGGTACTTTTAAGACAGACTGTACACCTGAACAGCAGCCTATCCTCCATTTCCACCCCCGCGCCCCGCCTTATTGTCTCCCTGTTATACAACGCATCGGCTCAGCGCGCATGCCCTGCGGACGCGACGGTACACATTACCCCGCTCTAATACACATGGCTCAGTGGTGCTGAACGCACCGCGACCGGAGGGCATCGACCCGGGATTGAGATCGATACTCCAACCGACGCACACCAGGTGAGCTGTCATTGAGGCAGGTAATAGCGAGAAATGTGGCAGATGAGCGGTCAGATAAGGCACATCGAACGGATCATGGGATTCGGTATCAAGTCAAGATGGGCACGTGGCTGGATGGAAGTTATTGACGGCGGGGAAAAGTGAGTACTAAAGAATAAGAAGTGACTTGGTATAGTGACCACAGGATGTATGGTCAGTAAATACCTGTTGTTCTAGGTCTCGAGGAAACCTTGTCATCCTTTACTAAATTATCTACGCCACAATCCTCAACCAGTCAAGCCTAAACTGTCCAAATTATACATAGCTCCTCAGGTCCCCTTTGTCCAGACCGCACAGCGGATCGACACCTGCCCAATCATCGAGTCTCTGCGGCAGGTGAGCGGAAGACGCGTCTTAGTTCCGACCCGTGGGCACACATTGTGTGCGCGCGACCGGACCCCGGCCGCAGAAATCAATTCAGCAGCGGTTCCCATGACAAGACCGAACAATTCCTTCTTATTTAACATTAAATTAGGTTTTGTTTAATAATTTGAACCGTGTGAAACTATCCTAGCGAGAAGCAAGGAGCGGTTCTATATCGCCGTCAAATGGCATTCACAAATAGCAGCGAAATGTGGTGATGTACTAATTACAGCTATCGACTGGACGCTGTAACCTGGCCTGTCTCAGCAAACATTTGGCCTCACCCTCACGGCCACTTACCGTGGCTGACAGGACGGCCTTGTCACCTGGCTTAGCTCGTCAAACACACGTGTCCGGGCCCGCACTGGGCACTTTGCGACCATGGAACCTCTACGTGAGGGAGGGGTGGTGAGGGATTGACTGGGGAATCAGCACTGTTGAGGGAATGGTGAGAGGAAATGTGGCACAAAAACTTTTTATGTACAATTCCGACATGGCTATATTTGATTTCAGAAAGAACGATACGTTTTCAGGCATGTCAGTGGGCAATGCACCTGGCATGTGTAGTGCATCCTTATTTTGCTTTCAGAAGTCAGCACGGTCGGTAGTGCACAGATGACGTACACAACAGCTGCAGACCATGGAGGAAATGGTCAAAACCGAATGGGCATCCCAACTGAAACCAATGGCTGGTGACCATATGTCCAGTAAACGGCTATCAGCGATATAGGAAAAGACGAAACGCACCAGAGTCCACCGTACCAGCTTATCATTTTCCAGCCCGACAGCGCCAGAGCGGGGGCCATTGTCCACAGCTCACAAACAATGCATCATCGACTCCCGATCTTCCACACAATGCCAGGAAGTCATAAAGCGCGCGGTCCAGTCAAGGCGTTCTTCAGATATAAGCGGCACCGTTTGGTCCCGGACGAATCAACAAAGGACCGAACACGAACGCTGCCCACGGCTAAACGAGACAAGCTTTTTGTCCGCTTTTGACAACAAAGGCGCCTTCCTTCGCGCGTGCGGACTCGTTATTCGCAACATCGCCCTCAAAAATGCGTGAAAGCCACCCTCCAGTTCCGTCCCTAAACAAGCTACCTCCCCTCCTTGAGCGCATATTCACGACTCAGCCGACGCCCTTCACACGCCCCGGTTTTTGCGCGAGTCCCCGCATCCAAAAAGGACAGGGTTCGTCGGATCGAGGAGCTATGGCCATCGACCGGGTGGGCTGTCGACCGATCGGCGGGCGGCAGTAGCCGACGGCCGCCACTGGGACCCGAGCACGGCGCGTGCACGGCGAGCACGCCGCCACGGCCGGTCACGCGACGGGAACGGCCGGAGAACGGCACACGGCGTGGGACTCGCCGCACGGGCCGGGCAGCGGGATTTTGATTCCACTCAGATGTTATTGGAATCTACAATCGTTTCTCCAGCCTTATTCTAGCAGGGTATTGACTGGGACAAGCCGCCTGGACAGGGCGGGATTTTAGTCCTACTCAGATGTTATTCGAAACAACAACCCTTTCCCGGGCCTCTCTACCCCAGCAGGGTGTTGACTGGGACTGTCCGTTGGAACACGCCACAAAACATCGGCCAGGAGCGACTCTGGCTGGTACTTTCACCCTCAGGCGATCAGTGATTGGTCCACCCACATCCGCACGGCTACCACACGCCAGCAGGTGGCAGGGCAAGGGTCACGTGAGGTTACCTGTGCAATTACATACGTCCCCGGGATATATCACGTGATCTGAGCTCGTGTGCCATTTGGAGGATGGTGGTTGCCGTCTCGCTATGACTAAATTAATTTTCAGTGTAATGAAAGAGCAGGCAATGACCCATGGCATTGTATCTATAGGTAGGCAGAAAGGCTGGTAAAGCAGCGAGCTTAATTAGTTGCATCAGGCGATGAAACGTTACAATACCTATACATCAGAGCCTCTCGCTGAAACAGAGCATCCATTCAAAATTGCCGAAGGCGACAGGGACATCAACGATAAAAAAGACCCATGAATCCTAGGAACATTAAACAAATAAGGAGGCACAATAATCAACCGCTTCATGCTCATTGAAATGCAACGTCAGGCGATGAAAAATGTAAGAAAGTTTGAACGAAGTAAGCAATCGGGTTCATGAATAATCGCACCAGGGATCTTCTTGTCCTCAACAATTGACAGATCACGCCAATTATAATTAACCGTTAAAAACGCTTACGGTAAGGCTTAGTCATCAAAAATACTTCTCAATCAACATTCCTATGAAGTGAATAATCCATCTACAAGATGTCACCCATGACGTCAGTGTGACGTCTAGGCGAGCCCTTTGGTGACGTGACGTCATGACTCAGTCCGCTCGAACCGCGCAGCAGGCCACTTTCCTCGTCTGTCCCATGACATAACCGGTATCCACTGGCCGTTGACGTTCTGACAAAACTGTCACGTGCCAAACCAACTCGCTCAACCCGCGAATTCCGTACAACCGCACCTGTCTGCCCCAGCCTCAGCCAATATATGCATACCGCACCCTTCCACTCAGTCCACTGTGGACAGTCCACCGTTTTAGAGACGACGTAGGTGGATTCCCGAGCCGGTCTCGGTCGCTGCCGCCGCGAACAGCGAGTCAAGGTCGCCCGGTGTCAAAGACGGCACTGACGGGGCCGCGGACGGGGAACGGCGGACGGTAGTCGGGCCATACGTCGGCACCTCATTACTCAGTGATACGGGTTACAGGTATGCGGGGAGACCGAAGGGTTTCAGAGCTGACGGAAATGTCAATGAGCCCAACTGCATTGAACCCGGATTCTTGAAGCGGGAGTTTGGAGCTAAGTGATAAAGCTTTGAAATGAACCAGAACAGCTGAAAGATGAATATGATTTGACACTCCTGGAATACAGTCCTCGGTAGCAGATCCATCACACGCCAACGTATGTTGCAACTGGAATGTTCCAGCAGTCAATCCCACCCGCTTCCAGTGTCTGTCTCAGTGTCAGTGTCAGTGTCAGAGCGTGTCAGAACTCAGTGTCAGTGTCAGTCCCCCCCCCCCCCGAGGACTCACCTCAGCGACCAGTCGTCCGCCGCGCACGGTCACACCGATACCGGGTCGAAACTCCACCACAACGCCCGGCTCGACCTCGACCTCGCCCGTCTCCGTGATAAGCACATCGCTGCTGGCCACATAGGGCGAACGGGCGCGCTCCCAGCGCGTCCGTTGGCTGTAGATACCTCCCACTTCGGTCTGAGCAGACACCAGCACCAGCGGCACCACCAGCAGCGCGGCCCACAGCGGCACCAGCCGCCGCGCCGCCTCCTCCATCACCAATCGGCGCACGACCCTGCCGTGTGCTCCCAGGAGCGCGCGCGGACACCCGACACTGCCCGCTCGTCCGACCGACTGCCCAGCCGTCGCCGCCGACCAACCGCCCGCCCGCCCAGCGCCGCCGGTACGCAGCGGAGGTTTAAACGTGGTCACGTGACCGGGTGACGTCACAGAGCGGCCAGGTAGGGCGCTCCAGTGTCCAGGTGCGGGGGCTCGGGAGCGACGGCCGCTCGCCGGCGGCCGCCCTGCAGTCGACGACGCACGGGCGGGAGAGGCTCGGGATGTCTGCAGCTCGGAGGGACGACGGCGGGCAGAGGGGGCGGCGCCCCGGCAGGTAGGCACAGGTGCTCTGTCATGCGCGCGGTGCCTCCGCCGACTGCAGGGAGAGAGAGAGGGGGATAGTGGTGAGAGGGGAGGAACGGGTAATTATCGGCGGAACGACCCGGCACGGGCGGACAACAAGGGACTCAGACAGGGAAAGGCACACACGGGGAGGGGAGGGGTAGAAGGATTTCTGTTGATGAGGAGACCGATATCGACAGCGACATTCCTAAGAGGTAAATGGGATCGATCGATGTTTTCACTTTCGATCGGTGCGTCAGTCTTAATAATTTGTTTTCTTTTTCTCATTTCAACAACAAAGGACAATGAAAAGTGGTTCATAATCGTACATAGATGCGACATTGGTATCGACCATGAATGATCAATGATCAATGACCATTCATACTTTCAAGCTATTAGCTAGGTCCTGTTTAACTTCACGCTTTGAGTGAGACGTCGAAATCACATTTTCACGGTGACTATAAATATTTTAACATTTTAACGAATGTGAACACAATTTCCCTGTTTTAATTTTCCACTTCTCTTAATGGGTGCATTTAAAGACATTGAACACATTTTCAAAAATGACCGGACTATATTTCAAAATCAGACGGCGCAATTCGCAGGTACATACCCTTGATATGCGCCTTTCAACCATTGAAAACAGATGCCACCAATTCTTATACTATACATCGGTAGCATACCATACAGTACAATATGCACCACAAAAGAAACAAATACACCATTACAAATTACTGACCGATATTAAGCTCCCTGATATTGCAAACACAGTTACACTCCCTCGAGCTGCAATCGCATACCCGTCCAATCCCTGAGTATTGCGCCAGTGGCGACATCTATTTCTCCAGCTGCCGGCTCCCTGGCGGGGCTGTCCAGAAGCCTTCATACGTGGCGCCACTGTCGGACAACTCGGGGACGGGACGGGCAATCCCGTCTCGACGCTGACTAGCCGGACTAACTTTACAAGGCAAACGCTTCTGCGCTACTGGCGTAAATGGCGTCACATTGGCGAGCAAGGCTTCGACCATGCCTATTTAGAAGCAAAGCATGGCTTTCAAATGCCCACCTTTGGGTTTTGCGTAAACGACAAAAGCATTGCAAACGATGAATCATCGAGCTGCTATAGCTACACGGATTGGCCTTAACAGCAAACAAAATAGCAAGCATAGCATAAAACCAAGCAAGCAAATGTTCGCACTTCGTATAGAAGCAGCGGCTAGCTCTACAGAAGCTTCTCCATTGATTTCATTGCCTTATGCACCACAGCCGATTCTGGGCTCGAACTAGACTAGCATTCTACCGGGCTCCGACACGAGCCACACTACTAGCGCCCCCAGTACCAACCCGCCCACCTCCTCAGCGCCACCTACTGGCTCTGTTCATCCAGCGCTCGGACGGCGGTGAGCAGTGCGGGAACGGTAGGCCGGTCCGGCGGGCTGGTACTACAGTGCACCAGAACGAGACGATCGGAGCCGTCCACTATAAAGTCGCCGCCCATCTGATGAGGGTCGTCCTCTACACCCGTGTAGGCGGCGGGCAGGGGCCGGCCGGCAGCCTTCTGGCCGCCGTAGTACTGGAGAGTGCTGTGCTGCCACACCTGGTGAGAGGGAGGGGGGGGGGGGAGGACGTGAGAAGACAGAGGGGAGGGAAGCTGAAAAGAGGGGAGGAAAGCTTAACGGGAGGGGAAAGAGGAAAACCGGCGGGGTGAATTGAGTTGTGCGGGATCCAGACAGGGATGGATTCGCTAGATTGTATGGAAATACGTAAAAAGCCTTCATGGCTGAAGGCAATGCGGCTAGCTTACATCCAAATTCCAATAAACGATTTTGTTCAACAAATGACAAACCGGTCAGAGTACCGCATGCAGCTGCTAGAAGCCTGCGAAAAGACACTGCTCTTTGTCCAGCCAACCATCCGAAGCGCCATCCCGAGTCCCGACCTCGCACCATCCCCAACCGACCCTACGAATCCGACCTCCCGTCGACTCTGTATGTAGTCGATCTATCCATTCACACAAACACAGCGGCCCGTGCAGCGGCGGCAGAGCGGACGCCCCGGCGGTATCGGGCCGGTGTCGACCACAGATGTTCCTTCCCGGGCTCAGTTTAGAGATCCACATGTGACCGCGGCGGGCGGTGTGTGGAGATAAACCGTCCACTGACGGTCGGAGCGGAGAAATAACACAGTGCACCGGAAGGTGAGGTGGGGGTGTAGCAGGGGTAAATAGACATTGGGGTGTGTGCCTGGCCGATGACGACAGACCAACCACGAGTGGTAAAGGGAATCGTATATAGCGAAAATCGGAAGTGCAGGTTACAGGGTAGAAGATGAAATATGACAGGCTATAACTTAGGCAAGCCAAATGAATGAATACGGGTGAACGCTGTCAAAAAGGAAAATCAGTCATGAAAGGGAAAACTGGCCCACTCCTTCGATTCCCCGTAAACGAAAAGTACGTAGCCAATCAAAAGAGGGCAGATTAACTTCACGACATGCCATGCCATTATGATCTACCTTACCGCTAGTACTGCAACGGCGGTCGGCGCGTCCTCCTACCTTGGCGATGGACCTGGCCAGTCCGAGGGCGCGATACAGCTGCCGCTCGGGGTCCAGCAGCAGCGGGAACTCGCAGCCCGTATCAGCCAGCCAGCGGAGCGCCCCCTCCCGGGCGCCAAACGAGACCACCAGCACAGAACAGCGCAGACGACCGAACTCGGCCTGCGGAAGGAGAGGGAGTTAGGGAATAGGGAGTCATATACCGGTCACGGTTTCATGACACATTTACGGCACACCGTATGCACAGGGATAAGCTGTGACAGTAGCCAGACTGGCCGTGCTATCTCAACGGGAGAGACGACGGGAGGGGGAACACATCGAATGTGTTTATCGGTAGCCAACATATACACATGAAAACAAAAATAGCTCATATCCAACGCTGACAGATACGATAAAGGGCAACCGAAACACTAGGGCTATCGAACGGTGCTTCGAGGCCGGATGGCAAAAAAAGAAATCAGGACAAAGTCCCGGGATGTCAGCGAACACAGCATTAGAAGGACCGCTCAGCTGCCCGTTTCCCACCTTCTGCTGCTGTATCTGTGCCACGTGATCTCGTCACGGAAGTCAGGCGAAGTGGCGGAGCAGCACCAGCAGCCTAGTTCCCGGGGTGTCCGCCAGGCGGCACGGCTCTCCGCTGAGCGCGTCCGTCAGCTGCAGAGAGCACGGAGCGGGAGAGAGCAGCGGGGGCGGCTGGCGGCCGTCCGAACCCAGCCGGCCGTCCAGATCGAGCACAAAGTGGTCCCACTCACTCTGAAAGGGAACCGGTAGGGGTCAGGCGATATCACAGGGGGCTGTGTTTAGGGAGAATCATCGGGGAACGCTAGTGCGAAAACGTTGCAAATGACTCCTATGCCAGAAGTGATCTATCGTATCACTAGGGCTACTCTAGAGCCTAGCAGACGCTTCACGCCTGCACAAGCATCAACAGACAACATTCTGAGGAGTGAACTTTGTGTACTTTGGACGCCAACGTTGCGAATAATGCCGGTAGTGCTGCATAAATAGTGCAAGCAAAGCCCACCATTCCCAATGTTACCGTTCTATGTCAAACTGAGTCACTAGGTACATTACATTGCTGAAGTTTCATAGTTGCATAGCGGTTAATGTGTTTAGACGTTTAAAACACTGGCAACTGGCCTACAAGCTGATGTGACCTGATCAAAACGCCGGATCGCGAACGAACTGAAGGCGAATCATGGGCGTTGATGTGATACGGTTTTCGCCCTGTTCCTAAAAACATCCTATTTCGTAGTCAATTCAGTGCTTAATCCCTGTCAGGATGACGGAGCACAATTCCAGTCGCGACATAACGGTAGGCCTATTTAACACTGCCGGCACTCTGCACCGGTACTCAGCTAAACAAACAACATGACAAACACAGTATGTGCTCCCTAATGCAAAGGCATCCGTTATACTCACATCGATGGCCGAGCTACAATATCACGAGAGGGAAACAATGCTGGAATATAATGAATTCATGTAATTTAAACATTTTACTTCCCAATCGTCGCATAAATAAAGTCGCTGCGATTAGAAATTACGGAAGCATCGTAGAACCATTTCTGCTCGGTTTAAGATCGACACAACCTCTTTATCACTCACCTCCATGTCCAGCAGGTGCTCCATTGCGGAGAAGATCTGCCGGCTACCGGGCTGGCCGACCTGCCGTCGGACCAGCTCATCGAGCTCTTCCCGGGAGTGGACCCCGCAGCTGCCAGGGAGGGGACAACTGGCGGTAAGACGGCGGACGGTGGGTGGACCCCGCAGCTGCCAGGGAGGGGACACATTTCGCGGTAAGACGGCGGACAGTGGGTGGACCCCACAGCTGTAGGGTAGGGACAACTGGCGGTAAGACGGTGGACAGTGAGTGGACCCCACAGCGGCCGGGGAGGGGACACATCTCGCGGTAAGACGGTGGACAGTGGGTGGACACCACAGCTGCAGGGTAGGGGGCAACTGACGGTAAGACGGTGGACAGTGGGTGGACCCTACAGCTGCAGGGCAGGGGGCAACTCGCAGTTAGACGGTGAACTTGTAAATATTTGGGAAAGTTTTCAGGAAAGGCGTAACGACCCAAGGGGTTCATATAGCAAGAAATCTGACGAGATTTAGCTCTTGACGGACCAGTCGGTTTTATAAAAATCGACTTATTGACAGATCTTACAGAACTTAGTCCCAGTACTATCTCCCACTGACCTTTCGAAGAGACGAGCATACTCCCCGATTAGTTTCCCGAACATTCCGATCTTGTTGCTGATGAATTCATCGAGGGTCACTGAAACATGATTAATTGTCAATCTAATACGCCCATGACACGATCATCTTACACCGTGATTGCCAGGCACGACGCAAAAAAGCGGGTCAAGTTTCGTTAAAGAAACAATGAACGAACAGCGTACACGGAAGCAAGTGTTTTATTCTCCTCAGCCAACCAGTCTCTCCCAACTCTGCCAAGTTCCTCAGCCGACTAGTCTCCTACCTTTGGTGAGCTCCTGCTCGGCGGCTGCGATGGTGGCCTCTATCGTTTCGGCGAGGACCGCTGCCTCGGTCAGCACTGGCTCCACCGACGGCATCGTGGCCGCTCTGAGGGAAGGCGGGACTCGGGAGTTGAGATTGCTGTCGCACACTTCACAGTTAACAGCACAGTCTTTTACACATCTAAAACGAATATCCAATCCGCATAAATTGGATAACATAAACGTCAACTCAATAAGAGTAGCACAGTAGGAACGGATATACAGCAGACGTCCTGCGTCCGAAAAGGTTCGCTGCAGCCCCAGCGTCGGCACCACCCTCCATGACAGCAGCAGCAGGACCAACAAATGCGAAAGGCGGCAACAATATCCCAGACTGGATGGAGATGTTACCTGAAAACTCTCAAACCCTCGAGCATCTCGGAGAAATGCAGATGCAGGAAAACGCATTTTACAAATTGAATACCCAGCCAAACTAACCTTCCCTGCCGGAAACTTCAACAATGCTCAGAGTTGGCTCTTGTCCCAGGGTGCGGCCGAACATTACAGATCAACAGACCGATCGCATTTCACTAGAATACCGACGAAGCTGCCAGCCAGCAGCCAACCGCGATCGACACAGAGTCGACTCGCCAGCTGCCCCCGGGCTACAGCTGGCACCTCGACGGTAAGGTAAGCAAACTCTCTCGGTTATCGCATCGCACACATACCCACGACGCATCTGCGCCCGCGATATCGATCTTTTCTAAAAACGGACGGTGAACACACACAGCCACAGGAGCCAGATACAGGACACGATAAGGCCGATAGTTTAACGGCGACCGTCCTCTGCCTCGAACTCACCTCACGTCAGGAGAGAGGCACAACGCTCGCCGAGCCGTCACTCACGAGACTGAGCAGCGACCACTGAGCGCTGGGCCGTACTGACTAGTGTCCCATGCGTAGAAACCCTCCCCCTCCACTTGACTGGCCAGATAACCTACCCACAGAGCACTCGACGGCTGATCTCTGACAGGCACAGACACTCGACTGAGTAAACAACCAATGTTACACAACGGACTTTGGACACCGTGTGTTTATAACGTGCACGGTGTAATTAGAAGACGATGTTGAGGAGTGGTGCAAAGTTGCAAGTCACGCAGGAATTTAGATCACTGAATGGCTACTGTGGTAGGTAAGGGATGCAGAGCAACAGGCGACAGGCTAACTAAATTCACGTCTATCGAGTTGAACTATCCACATCCGTGACTACGTCCGTATGCCCGATGAATAACAGGGCAGATTAGTCGCAGTGGTTGCATTAAAGGCCAGATGAGGTCGGTACAGAGAGCGCTTTATATGGACTTGGACACGCTTAGCGACCGTCTCCCCAAAATTTCCGATCTAATGGGTGTCCACTGTCCACTATCTCATGATGCCCACCATGATGCGGCGCGTGGGTGAGCGCGTGCGCGCTCACCCACGCGCGCGTGCGAGCGCTAGTAGCCTTAAGCATTCTATTTTTGCCGATGATGTGGCCATTTGGGTAACGCGAAGAAACATTGACTCGGCTTTTGCCTCCGTTCAAAACGCAATGGAGGATATTCATAGCTGGTGCGATAAATGGGGCCTAGTCTTGTCGCCCAGCAAAACAGTAGCACTTATATTCTCCCATAAGTCCCGTTTTAAATTTGATACCGAACTTAAAGTAAAGAACCAAACTATCAAATACGTTAAAACGTTCAAATACCTCGGCATCACACTAGATAGTAGACTCTCCTTTAAACATCACTTTGAAGACGTTAAAATGCGTTGCACTAGGCGCCTCAACATACTTAAGTGTATAGCAGGAAAGGATTGGGGTGCTGATCGCAGCACCCTCCTTAACCTATACACTTCCCTAATCCGTCCTATCCTGGATTACAACAGTTTTCTATTTGATGATATAGCTTCTAATCAGATCGAATCACTTCAAGTTATACAAAATAAGGCCCTGCGTATAGTTACAGGAGCCCAATGCACCACAAATATCAAGGCTCTCCACGCAGAATGTAATATTCCTCTTCTCTCTCACCGCCGTAAACTCCAACTCCTTCGCTTCTATGCGCGCACTTTCTTGTCCCCTTATTCGCCTTCGCACCGCATTGTCTCCAATCGATATACGGACGACCCTCCCACAACGGCCCAACTCAAATACCCGATAATCGCCTATCGCATAGAAAGGACACTCAGTGATTTCCAGTTGGATTTTCCATCTATTTTTCATCGGCCACCCATCTCTTCTTTCTTTCTGCCAGCCATAGAGAATATTGCATTCCTGTACGCAGAGGCAAAATCAAAAGTCACAAAAGAAGAAAGCATTCAACTTTTCTATGAGCATAAAGAAGAACATAAAGACTATGCATACATATATACAGATGGTTCAGTTTGTGTCACATCTGACCATCATAACAAAACAAGTAGGCTACACGACGACCATAGCATATTTAGTGCTGAGTTGATAGCCATTCACTCAGCACTCAAATATGTCTCATCGAAAAACATAGAAAAGGCTGTGATCTGCACAGACTCAGCTTCATCGGTAAAGGCAATAGCTCACAGAAAAATGGAAAAAAAAACGAAATCGTTTATAAAATAAAAAAGATGATTATTGGCTTTACCGATGAAAACAAACACGTCATTCTCCTGTGGATTCCGTCCCACGTTGGAATACAGGGGAATGAAAAAGCGGACAAGCTAGCCAAAGAAGGTCTTCATCTCCCATCTCGAAATCATCTCGCTCTCCCCCTTCCGGATTTTCTGTCTTCGCTCTTCCGTGCCTTCCAGAGATACCGCCAAAAATGCTGGATAGATGATCATACACCACATCTCTTCTCCATTAAATCGAAACTTTTGCCATTTCTACTCTTCCCATCAAAACACAAGGATCAAAGAGAGAGTCCTAGCCAGGCTCCGGCTCGGCCACACACAACTCACCCACAACTACATCCTGGACAGAGCACCTCCACCCATATGTCACCACTCACCACTGCCGCGACCACCCACGCTACACCATCTCACACTTCCTCCTCCACTGCCCACACCTACACCAACACCGCAGACATATAGTACAATACATTAACACACATGGACTCTCTCTCGACCTTCCGACTCTCCTGGGCGACACTCATCCGTATATCCACGACCTTCTGTTCGTCTTTCTCGCCGACGCTCGGATCATCAAGAGCCTTTAGCGTGTTAGGGCCGCGGCTGCCGCCCCTAAAACGCTAATCAGAGCCCTCGTCTTCCGGCTCACCCCCAAACTCACACATTAATTAATCGCGGTTACAGGGCTTTTTCCCTCGCGCCGTTTTGGCTTAGGTGCGAGGTTTTTGCCCTTTGCGTTAGGCGTCGGGTTTTTTATTATTTAGGACTTTTTCTCCCGACCATTACACCCCACAACAAGGCCCCGCCGGGGGGCTGGAGCCTAGAAGGTCTTATACCTTCTGTCAGTGCGATGAAAGCTTCCCGGCTCCATTACACTGACACCAGCTCACAAGTGTTCATGTCTATTATGTATTGTTAATAAAAGTCATTCCCACTGTTGTGTTTGCGACTCCAGACATCTCGGCTCTTTGGCTATACACGTAAGTACCTCCCTTAGCTTTGATTCCACATTAAGATAGGATCCCACGCTGTTTTTGCTACCGGGTTCACATAAACCGGTTTAACGTAAGACTTGCTGCCCGTCGAAAATTGCCGGAGTAACTGCCCCCTGCTCGGGTATGGCACTAGGCCGACCGAGCAAAAAAAAAAAAAAAAAGAGCGCGTGCGCGCTCACCCACGCGTCAATCGACACGGCGTGACGTAGCTCCTGCACTGAGAGTATGCGTATTCACAACTGAGTGCCGAAAGAGTCCTGAATATTTCATTGCTCGAGGTTCAAATACATTGAAGTTATTGCACCTTGACTTTTGTCCAAATGATTAGTGGACACCCGTTACCTCGACCTGCGCGACAAGCTCTGCTTGTGTGGATCACGATCTCGGAAACCCACTCATTCAAAGCACTCAAGCTCTACTATCGTCTCGCTTCCGTGTCCACTGAGTGTCAAAATATTAGGAGTTTCATTCATTTCAAATGCAGTTTGAATAAAGTATTTCAATTCGTTTGAAACTTAGTAGACCTATGCTTGACCAGTCTCAAATGCTTCGCCTCTCCATCTTCAGAACGGACTGAATTGAAATGAAACATGCCCAAAACTCCATTATTTGCTGCAGATCTTCTATTTTCATCTATTGCATCATTCACTACAAACAGAGCAGGTGCCACAGTCAAAAACCGATAATTGAGTTTAAATACATTTCCGATCACCGTTCCGTTCTACTCGTCGCAGACGGTGAGGTAGTCTCCCTGGCAGAGGGCCCAGTTGATGACGTGGTGGATGTAATTCTCCTCCAGGCTGCCACGCAGCAGGTGGGCGCCCGGACCGCGCGCGAAGATGCCCACGTCATCTCCGCCGTGGGTCTCCTTGGGCAGGTAGATGCCGGCGAACTGTTTGTAGTGCGGGTCGCGCCACTCGGCGTCGGGCCCGGTCTCTGTGAGGGCGGCGCGCTTGGCGTCCTGCTCCTCCTTGGTGCGGGTGCCGCCCGGACCGTTGGCGTACTGCAGGATCGGGTACGGCAGGCTGGGCGGCGGACCGCCCTTCTGCATACCGCCGGCCAGGAACGAGGCGGGTCCGTACATGTCCAGGCCGCGCTCCGGGTAGCCGTTGATCTTGAAGGTGTGAGCGTGATCGGAGGAGACGACGATGAGGGTGTCCGACTCGTCGGTGTTGTCCACAGCGTACTGGACGACCTCCTCCAGTTCGATGGTCTCGTCGATGGCCGTGTACGCGTTGCCGTAGTGGTGGCCGTGGTCGATCTTGGCGCCCTCCACGAACAGCACGAAGCCGTTCGGTCCGCGCTTCAGGATCTCCAGAGCCTTCTTCACCATCTCCGTCAGGTTGACGTCGTCGGGAGTCTGGAAAGCGCGGTACTGCATGTGGCTGCGGCTGAACAGACCCAGCACGTAGTCGGCAGAGGTGGCGTCAAAGTTGTTCAGCTCATCCTTGGTGGTGAGGTAGGCGTAGCTGCGTCCCAGGGAGGCCTGCTTGTCCTTCCACTCCTGGATCAGGTCACGACCGTCCAGACGGGAGCCACCCTCGACCTCCTTCGGCGTGAACTTGCCCCAGCCGCCACCGAAGGCGACGTTGATGTCGATACCTTCACGCTCGACGAACTGGGTAGACAGATCCTTCATGACGTTCTTGCACGATTCCTTGACGGGTCCAGTCATCCATTCCATGGCGACGAAGTCGGCATCCGACTCCCAGGTACGGTAAGCAGTGTGGCCGAAGGTGGCAGCGGGAGAGGCGTGCGTGATACGGGCGGTGGACACCAGACCAACCCACTTACCGGCCTCCACTCCGTAGCGGAGGATCGACTTGGGCGAGGAGGCCTCGTTCACGGCATCACAGTTCCAGATGAGGACGGAGCAGTCGACGCCGACCGTGAGGAAGTTGCCCTTGGCGCCGGTCAGGTAGGCGGTGGCCGTGGAGGCGGAGTCGGCCGTCCAGCGATCGCAGTTGTACGTCTTGGAGAGACCAGTGTACGGGAATTTCTCCCACGACAGCATGGTGTGCTCGGGAATATCAGCTCCGTGCAGCAGGCCCTTCTGCTTCCTGGCGGCAGCAAGGGTGTGGATCGACATACCGTCACCGATGAACAGGATGGCGTTCTTGGCCTGGTGGTGGTACACCTTGTCGTTCAGCTTGGTCTGGATGATCTCCTGGGCGATGCTCTTCCAGAAGACCGAGTCCAACACCTGACCGGAGCGGGAGAGCGAGGCGCCGTTGTTTAGGCCCATCTTCTCCTGGACCTCCTTGTAGGAGGAGCCCCAGACCTCGTGCATCTCGAGCTCATCCTGGTCCTCGACCTGGGAGTCGAGTGGCACGGATGCCACCAGGGCCAGGAGAGCGGCAGCCACGAACAGCTTCATCCTGAGGTGGTGATGCCGTCTGCTAATGTGCAGACGATGATGCTGACCGGACGGGCAACGCGGCTTATATACCGAGGGTAATGGTTAACAAGTGTGTCCACTTCGGCTAACCAGGACTGGCATGACCACTGGGAGTTAATCGCCTAGTCTTATAACTTCCAGCTGTGTAATTGATGGCGGTTTTCCACTTGCGGTAAATGCTGGTTCGCACACGAGCAGTGCGACAAGTGTTTGAACGAATCATGTGGACTTACCTATATGTATGTCAGATAGGTATTCATGCCTGCGGATAATAATGAAGAATATATTGAATATATACAAAATAGATTGCATATGTAAGTGCATATTGTGTAATGCCTTAGACATCTCTTATACATCTACCTATACCTACTCACTACTCAACATAAATGGGTGACGCTATGCGTGATTGCTTTCGGGATTAAGAATCGACAACAGGCTTTTGGATGCTTTCCGAAGTCATTAGTTGCTGCTTACCTCTCGTCAAGAACGACACATTTTTCATAGAGTTCCAGCTCCATGAGGGACCAAACACGTGGTGACTACATCCTGAATTAATCTTAATCTTAATGTTAACCGGCGGCCGGGTGGGTCTCTCATGGTGGGGGTGAGGGTAGGGGTCTAATTTGGCCACACCAGGTTACCTCGAAAAGTAAGCAAGCTAGAAAGACGCGGTAAAAAAAGCAATAGATAGCTCGCTATAAGATCTTTCATAAATACTCAGTACATTTTTCAATCAGGTTATTGCTAAGGTCACTGGAGGTCAATTTGCTAAGGTCAATTTTGTCTCAGGGCCGTCTCAGATTTGACCAAGTTCAACGGTTTAGCCTCTAGAGTCCAGAGGGCAAAAACTCAAAATTTGACGCGGAGCGGCAAAGCTTTCTGTAATAACCTTTGACAAGTCTGTATTGCTATATGTAGTTAGGATTTCAAATGACCTTTTCCTCGATAATTAATTGGAAATTCAATAAAAAGTAAATATTATATTGTTTGGCAAATTTTCGAACAACAGTTCATTCTCAAGCCACATGAAACAATTGACAACGAAGTTTTATAACTGCCGCCAAGCTACATTTTTTGAATTCTCACACGTGATGTACAAGGTGGTCTTCTTAAAATCAGAAATCTGAACTTAATCGATCATATCCCAAGCTGTTCCGAATCCTTGAAAAATAAAAATCCTTATAAAATCCTTAAATCCTTATAAAACTTCGTTGTCAATTGTTTCATGTGGCTTGAGAATGAACTGTTGTTCGAAAATTTGCCAAACAATATAATATTTACTTTTTATTGAATTTCCAATTAATTATCGAGGAAAAGGTCATTTGAAATCCTAACTACATATATCAAGATGTTCCTCGCTAGAGCACTACATACTATTTCTTCATACACAACAAGAAGTGACCGCCAAGAAGTGCTCACAAAAATGATGAAAAACCCAGAAAAACTAGCTAAAACGCTGTTGAGAATTGAGTTTTTAACTGCCTGCCGCAAAGCAAAGGTTAGTCCCTGTTTCATCACTGATGCCTTAAGTTCTGTAAATAAGCTGTTTAGCAACAATGTCTCTGTCAAGACTAGATGTGATGTCTTTAAGACTAACTTGCTGAACGAGTCGATCTCGGAGGCGTTCCGTACGAAGGCCTACCTTTTGAGGCAACGTAATCGACTTCTCGCGGAAACGGAAGAGTTTCTCGAAGCTCAAAGTGTCAACAACATCAGACAAACCTGCAGCCAGGTGTTCGACATCACCATACAAGAGAATCGTCCAAGACTGCTCAGGAAGTTTCAGAAACTGATCGGAGTGAAAACTCCGAACCAGAACGAAGAGAGGAGCAGTCCACCTCTGGCTCAAGATCGGGTTAAAAACTTTTCGTCACTAGACTTGCAAGCACAAGATCTGGCGCTTCTCTCCAAGGGACCTAACTTCGCTATCACACAAAAGATATCCAGCAATATTCTATTGGAGGTGGAAAAGGGAGTCGAACGTTTAGCGTACGCCAAACGCTGGCAAGATGAGATTCGACGGACGAATTCAAGAATGCGAAATGACACAACGACGCACCGACCAGCCTCGAACGGACCTCCAACGACCGGTCAGCCTGCCGAACGGCCTCCTATGACCGATCAGTCAGCTGACCAGCCTCCAGCGCCCAGCCTATCTGCTGACCGACCTCGAGCGACTAGCCAGTCTGTCAACCGACCTCCAGCGACCGGTCAGTCTGTCGACCGACCTCCAGCGACCAACCAGTCCGTCGACCGACCTCCAGCGACCAGCCAGTTCGTCGACCGACCTCCAGCGACCGGTCAGTCTGTCGACCGACCTCCAGCGACCAGCCAGTCCGTCGACCGACCTCCAGCGACCGGTCAGTCTGCTGACCAGCCTCCAGGAATGACGGCAAATGGTATGCCAAGGTTAAAGTCAGGTCTGTCTTTCAGATTCCCTGACACGGACAAAAGATTCCCCCCGCCCTCAGCTATGGAAGTTGAATGTAAGCTAAAAAAGCTAAAACAAGACGTAGTTAGGTGTTACAAAAAGCACCATGTGTCTGAGAGCAACGTAACTGAGAGTGAAATGCAGTTCTTGGACGAGAAAAACGACAACGTAGTTGTAAAGCAGAGTGACAAGTGCAAAGGTCTTATTATCATGGATAGGACGGAGTATGTCAACAAATCTCATGCTATTTTAGACGATCGGAACAACTATGAAGCTATAGACAAGAACCCAGTACCTAAAGTCGAGGCAGAATGTAAAAGGATATTCAAGGATGTCTCTAGAGATAAGTTACCAGAGGGCACGATTAAGGAGTTGATCCCGAACCACAGCAGGACACCGGTTTTCTATGGTGTTCCGAAGGACCATAAGGAGGGGGTCCCACTCAGACCTGTTATTTCAGCTTGCGGTGGTCCTACTGAAAAGATGTCATGTCTTTTAGAGCGCGTCCTGAAACAGCTACTACAATTTGTTCCAACACACTTGTGGGACACAGAACACTTTTTGAAAAGACTAGATGAACACACTCAAGAACAGGGGATCCCAAAAGGTTCCATTTTCTTTAGCATAGATGTGGTGAACCTGTACGGCAGCATTCCTATTTCGGAGGCCATTGATGCAGTCTGTGATAAGCTGGCCACCCATCTAAAAGATGTAGACACTTTTGGGCTGTCGGTAGAGGACATTAGGAAACTGCTGCAAGAAAGCCTCACAAAGAACGTCTTTTCATTCAACAATGAGTACTACCGTCAGACACTGGGGATCGCGATGGGAAACCCTTGTGCTCCTCCCATAGCCATTCTCTTCTTGGACCAGTTTGAAAGGCGTGCCCTAGAAGGAGCCACTCACAGCCCGTCGTTCCTGGTACGCTACATTGATGATCATGCTGGAGTGTGGACTCACGGTGAGCAGACGCTCAAAGACTTCCTCGCTTACCTCAACTCCCTACATCCATCGGTAAAGTTCACTTTAGACTACTCTGACAAAGAAAAAGGAGTGCCATTTCTAGACACATTGGTGACGGTCGAGGAAAAGGACGATGTCACAAAAATTGAGACAGAGCTCTACATCAAGCCCATGAACTCGGGCATTATCCTTCATTTCGATTCTGCACATCCAAAGTCGACCAAACTCAACGTGGCTAGAAATCAATTTAAACGGGCTATCAGGAATTCATCAAGCAGCATGAAGGAGAGGAAAAGTGTAGAAAAGATAAGGCAGTTACTCTTAAAGAATGGCTACCCAAACCACGTCCTGAACAGGTTGCTCAGAGAGGCTAGGGGGAATAAGACTCAGTCAAGAACTAGAAGGAACAGGACCCAAGAACCTTGTGATGGATTCCTTACACTTCCTTACGTAGATGAAAGACTGTTATGCGAAGTTAAGAGGAAAGTGAGACAATCAGGCCTCAATGTAAAGTTAGCATGGACAAATTCACAAAAACTAAAAGATAAACTAGTGAGGTCAGCACTATGTAAGCCCTTATGCCCAGGAGGTCAAAGATGTCACACATGCAGATCGGGGTTCTCTGGGGACTGCACGCAGAAAAACTTAGTCTATGAGATAACATGTACTGTCTGTCAAAGCAATGGGATGACCGTAACATACGTGGGAGAGACGAAGCGCCCGGTGCGCTTACGATTCAATGAACACCTGAGGGACGCGCTCAACAAAACACATGACACCCCCATGGGAGATCATTTTCAAGAGTGCCACTCCACCCACGAAGGAGGCATTCCCCTCAAAGTACGTGTTTTGTATAAGTCGAAAGACCACCCAGATAGGAAACTCGCGGAATCCCTCCTGATCCAAAAGAAGCGCCCAAAACTCAACTCCAACATGTCTTCATGGCCCATACTATAGAATGATAGTTGTTTGTTTTCATTACCCACTGGCTGTCATTGAAATTTGTTATGTGTGGATAATTGTTAGGTACTGCGCTTGATTCGAAGATGTATACATATGTATGATTGTGTAAACCCTACCTTTTACGACACGATCTGTTACGAGACTTTCGAAGTGTTTGTATTGTTATTGTTGTTGTCTTCTTCTTTTTTTTTAATGCGACACGATCAGCTATTTAGCACGACTACGACCAAGACGAACCATATTCATGTATGGGAATTGAGAGTGCTCGCATATTAGTTGTATGCATTTGTATGATTGTTTAAACCGAACCGAACTTTATACGACATAATCTGCTACGAGACTTCCAAAGTGTTTATATTGTCATTGTTGTCACCTTTTTTTTAATGCTACGCGATCTATTCATCACGACCACGACCAAAACGAACCATGTATATATTTATGTGATTGTGCTCGCATATTACTTTTGATGGTCATGTATGTATGTATATGTGAATAGGTGGATTCGGAACAGCTTGGGATATGATCGATTAAGTTCAGATTTCTGATTTTAAGAAGACCACCTTGTACATCACGTGTGAGAATTCAAAAAATGTAGCTTGGCGGCAGTTATAAAACTTCGTTGTCAATTGTTTCATGTGGCTTGAGAATGAACTGTTGTTCGAAAATTTGCCAAAACAATATAATATTTACTTTTTATTGAATTTCCAATTAATTATCGAGGAAAAGGTCATTTGAAATCCTAACTACATATATCAAGATGTTCCTCGCTAGAGCACTACATACTATTTCTTCAAGTCTGTATTGCGTTGATTTTACCCGCATCGTGTTAGTTTCCCTCGTCGAGACGCGTCGAATGAACTATAAGTTAACCTGAAAAGGTCAACTTAAAAATTTGACCTCAGGTCAAGGTCACAGAAAAGGTCATGTTTCATATCAATAGATTCGTTCAGCTGAGCTGAACGCATCCATGGGGGTTTCAGCTCTCTAGCATGTTTCTATACCTATCAGGTTATTGCCCAAACAAACTGTTGGGGACGTTTCATGACTGAGATGACCTCAGGGTAAAAGGTGCAATTTTCCGATTCAGTGTGCCATGTTCACCTGTTTCCCGATGTTTGATGCCGTTTTCGTCCAAAAGAAGAAAATTTCAATTTTCTCCCATTGACTTTTATCCCTCGCCGGGCGGGGGGTGGGGAAGGGGTGCAGCCCCTCCCCCCAGGGCTTTTTTCGCGATAGCTCCAAACACGCAGGCGATAGAGAGCTGAAACTTGGCATAACTGACCTTTGATTGAAGCCAGAATTTGTGACACCAGCCGCATTTTTATGTCGGGTCAGGTCACGTCATAAGTGAACCTCGCACGATCGTCAGATGTCGCAAATTCGCAACGCTCTCAGTGCCGGAGGAACTTTCACAAGAAGATGAAACTTACAGGATGTAGTATCCTCTAGAGGTCTCACAGCTTGTATATTTCAGATTTTTCCTCAAGGTCACACGAGTCAGGTCGGTCACGTGACCTCACCATTATAAGTCAAGAGGGAAACATAAAGACTGTTATTTTGGCGCCGGGAACGATCTCAAACGGAATTAAGCACACAGAATCATGATTTCATGCACTCCTTGCAAGGTCCGATGCTTCACTTTTGCATTGTTGACCTTGCGTGACGTCATTCATGACGTCA